CATGAAGCACATCCTGTCTTGACTAATGGTAAATGCACGTTAAAAAATTCTCTGGACTCTGCCTAGTCTTTTGAGGAGTAAGAATCACAACTTTTAAGTTATTATCCAAATCTTTTCTAAGGCAAAGGGAACTAATTTTGAAGAATAAAATACATGGTTGTGCCAAAATATTTTACTGTAGTAAATCTATACCGTTTCTTTTTAAATATAAGGTGTATATTCTAAGCTAATGTCGATAAGGAAAGGTGCAACACCAGCAAGTAGTAATAGAAAATCACCCCAAAGCACTTTTAGAAACTTCCAGAGTCATGGGTAGGGACAATGGAAAAATTAAAGTGCAAAATGGGTATGAACTTGCACCACCTTTCAATGACTGACTGAAAACCTTCAAAGTTCAATTAAAAAGCACAGGATTCTTCAAATATCTTAAGATAGTCGATTTGAAGGATTCCCCTGCCCCTTAACTGAAAGAATTTCCTAAATGGAAGCATAAGATAATAAACAGCTGGTGAGCCTCAAAGTTGAATGAGGTCTGCTTTATTGAGTTTCCAGTCAGGCAGGGTCAAGACTTATCTTCACATATGCATAAGGACATTCTCAATTTTTAATGTTTTTAGTAGAAAAATCTATACAAATACTCTTCAAAAGGGACATCCATATAATGAAATCCTGTAGCCATTAAAATAATGAGTTAGAGCTGGACGTGCTACTATGTAAAGAAAACCAAATTAAATAAAAAGAACCAAGTTACAAAATTGTACATTTAAAATAAAGGAGGACAGCAAGAGGACTATATATGTATACAGAGGCATATGAAATAAACGATAACATTTCTGAAAAACTATACAAGAATACAAGAAACTATATTCCCCTGGGGTGCGGGAATGAAGTCACAGGAAGGAGACGAGATGTAATTTTTCACTTTATACCCTTTATATATTGCATAATTTTTAAAAATCATAAGCATGTTTTATAACACATAAAAAATGTTAAAGTCTTTAAAAAACCTGATTGTACCCACAGCATTCTATGAAACATTAACTGTATAACATCAGTTTACAATCCTTTGCTGCCATTTATTTAATGGTCATTTAGTCAAAATTAGAAGGCTCCTTGGGTGTGTGCTTCCTCTCCCTCTCTCAAGATTAAGGGAAAATATTGAGAATTTAGAGTTTAAATCTTAACCTCATTGACTGAACTGTGACTTGGATGACACCTAGTCAAGATTCTAGAGAACCAATGACAAAATTAACTTAAATGGGCATTTTAATCACTAATTAAAATATTTTATCCAAGATCACTTTTCCTTTTTACAAGAGCCTGAGCCACAAGATTTCTCTTTTCATTAAACTCCACAGCCCTTTGAGTTGGACAAGCACAGATTCCAAAAACATAATATTTTAACACACATTGAATTCTTATGCAGGGCTAGAAAATAAACAGAATATACAGATGCCAAAAGTTTGAAAAGAAACACATTCTTAGCAGAAGTCTTCACTGGAAATTAATACCATACATTCAAATCTTCCAGGACTCCAAAATCAGAACAATGAGGTTTCATAAGAACCCTCTTACCCAGACACGGGATTTACCAACTCGAAGGTCTTAAAATACATTTGAATGTTTGAGGCTAAGAAAATTGGGAGTAGGAGGCCAGTGGCCACCTTAAGTGTGCATGCTTTAAAACTATTCAAAAATCCAAGTTCTTAAAACACTGTGCTGGTCAAACAAAAAACTGCAGACAGAATTCAGGGTATATGTCATGACTGTGCAAGCCTTATCATTAGCACAATAACTGGACTTTTTAATACCAGGGTTCACAATACTTAAGTCTTTCCAGATTAAGTATCACCATGCCCCGTCCACTTATTAAAGTGAATTAGTGTCCAAATGCTTGCTGAATTAACAACATAAACAAAAGGCTCTTCAAATATTGGATACAGTCACCAATAAATTTAATGAACAAGTTGTAGAATTGTGAGCGCTGCACTGGAGTTGGCTTGCAAAGGCTTGGGAGCCTGGTGCACATCTCTTTCTAATTCCAAGTTTAATGACATCAGATTGATAGGTGACATCAGCCATTGTGAGGGTATCTACACCACATATATCAGTAAGCAGTACCAAACAGGGCACTTTTTCGTGAGAGAAAAAGTCTCATCGGCACAACACTAAGAATTACATCTTGGTCATATATTCACTTGTTCAAATATACAATGCAAAATGTTAATTAATGACATTATAATGTTCTAAAATATACAAAGGAAAATTTAACTAATGAGGATGAATTTCATATAATAGGCTAACTTAAGACAAATTTTAATAATGGCATCCTTTAGAAAGTAAATTTTAAAACCACCTAGGGCACAAACCGTATCAATAAAAGATGGAATGTTTCTCACAAAATAGGGATCATTGTAACACTTCAGATGCTTCTTTTTTTTTTTTTTTTTAAAGATTTTATTTATTATTTGACAGAGAGAGACATAGTGAGAGAGGGAACACAAGCAGGGGGAGTAGGAGAGGAAGAAGCAGGCTTCCCCGCGGTGCAGGGAGCCCGATGTGGGGCTCGATCCCAGGACCCTGGGATCACGACCTGAGCCGAAGGCAGACGCTTAACGACTGAGCCACCCAGGCGCCCCACTTCAGATGCTTCTTTAGTTTAAAACAAGGTCCACTAATTACCCCATTAATTAACTTGTAAAGTTTAAATAAAAGCCTAGTGAATAAACTGTATTGATTTCATCAAATTATGAATGGAACTCAAATAACTAAGTTTTATTAGGTATACGGGATACAGAAAGTAACTCTCCTGGAATTTTAAAAGACTTTTTTTAAAGGGCTACTTACACATAAATGTGACAGGCCTTCAATCCAACAATGAAATATTCGCTCTCCAGAGCAAAAGCTCTGTCATTGCTTAGCCTCCCTATGCCTTGCCTTCTTTCATCCTTAAAGTATGCATCCACTTTAAGGATTGTATAATACATGAAAAGCACTTAGTAAGTTTCTCCTACATTTAAAGGGCTTAATAAATCACACCCCATAATACCACCACATACTTTGAAGTTACTTTTTAAAAAACGTATCTTCACAACAGTCTCCTAGAGATTAATTTTCTGATAGAAGTCTGAGACTGTTGGTGGAGACCAAAGATGAGGTGAGTCATTGTGAACACAAGTTCAGTGAAGGAGCACAACACACAGACGAAGAAGGCCCAAGAAGCAAGGCACAGGGCCCGCCTGGGGATGGAAATGGAGTATTAGCTCAAAAAAGCCTATTTTACAATATGCCAACAATTAGCAATAACAAAGCCAGAGTTTGTGGTGACTAATTATTGTAAACTATCTTTTAAAGTCACTTCAAAAGAATTTCGAAGCATTCTGTTTAAATGAGAAGCAACAGCAAGTGCTCTCTTTAAAGATGAACAAGGTATAAAAAGCCACTGGTGGGAAAACCATAGGAAACCTCTTTCTAAAGAAGTAAACACATTCCTTTAAATTGTAATAGCGGACTTCCTGGAGGGTAGTGATTTTTTGTTAGAGGAATCCACTTTTCATTAAAAAAAATCCTTTAACTATAGCTAAAATTATTAACTATAAACATGAGAGAGAATAAACTATTCATTTTGAACTCTTCAGCAAAGCATTTTTTCATTTTTAAAATAGTTATTTGATAGCTATTAAACGATGATACAATTTCAAAGTGGTCGGAATAGTAAATGATTCCAAAATAAACATCAATAACCATGAATCAGAACTGGTAACATCCTTGAAGGACATATTCACCAATGTCATCATTATTAAAACAATTTCAAACAGAAATAGAAAATCCAGAAAACAATATTAAAAATGTTTGCCATTTCAACTCAACGTTCCACTTTTCCCACCAAGCAGGAAGTTCAAGGAGCACTATGTTTACCCTAAAACCACACACTGTTATTCTGGAAAACAGAAATTTAAAGTGTAGCACAGTGGTTTTCAAAGTGTGGTCTGAGGACCTCTGAGAGTCCCCAAAAGCCAAGCGTCACAACTATTTTCATACTACTACTAAAATGTTATAGGTCTGTCTCACTCATGAGTTCACAAGTACACAGTGGAGTTTCCCAGGGCCCGCATGCCACGTGACAGAAAAATCACTGTGACGCCAAAGGAGCAGGAGAAACTCACTGCTTCTCAGGCCAGGTGCAACAGAGATGTGCAAAACATAAAACAATGTTCTTCTCATTAATTAACTGCTTTTGGAAGACAGCTAGTTTTTATTTAAAAATGGCATTTATGTTAACATGCAATGGGTTTATTATTGTTATATTTAAATGAATAAACACATTTTTTAAGTATCTCAGTATTAATTTCTAATACAGTAATTTCTGATAGATACAAGCTACATAAACAAAAGCTCTTTGGGTATCTTCAGTAATTTTTTTAAAAGAAATGTTTGAGAACTGTGAGTGCTGCCATACAAAAGCAGCCAGTTAGCATTCTCTCCATTTTCCCAACTTCCAGGAACTGTACCAAAGAAGGTGTGTGCTGGGGGCTAGGGCAACGCACAGGTAAAGCACTGAGAGGCTTCTTCAAATTTACAAAAGGAATTATTTTAAGGAAGAAAGTGATTGCCTAATCTCTACTGTCACAAAAATGAGAATAAAATATGCCTTTAAACTGTATCACAATGTTTGCCACTCTAAAAGAAAAGAAAATTCTCCTCCCAGAGCAAAGACAGGAGAGAAGATCTGATTCAACCAGTAAGCCAGAAAATTTGGAGTTCTTCAGCCTTGTCCTCCTCTTCAGTACTCAACACAATTCTGATGGGTCTATATAAAACCAAAAGCAAATCTGAATATGAAAGTCTAACAGAAGTGAATTTAAATCCACATTAAAGCTGGATCACTTTTTAAACTAAGGATTTCGATTTTATAAGCACTCATTTATGGTAAGTCAATAAGAGTTCTCATTTACTTACAAAGTTCAAGATTTACCCAGAAAAAAAAAAAGTCTTTAAAATTATTTTAATAACAACTGTTTAATTTACTTATTTCTTAGATGGAAAGCCTGGTAGGTTATTTGGGTAATGGCCTACAATTATATAGTATAACTTTGTACATATGAATTGTACAATCTAAAACACAGAAATTCAAAGACATTTCTTAAGCATTCCCTCCATGAAAAAAGGGCTGGAGAGAGACCCCCAAACTGTAGTATTTCAACCCACACATCTAGACCTCTGCAGCATTCATTCAATATTAAGAGAAGAGGCATAATGTTCAAAAAGGGGCAGAGATTTCCCAGTCTTCTTGCTCATCAAAATAGTTAAGATAAGCCACACACTGAGCTGGAGATGCAATGGGACAGCAAGGCTTTACCAAGTCTGGAACACTACACAGACTTTAAGATTGTGTAAAAACTCATGTAGTCACCACTGGAAAAGGTATTCAACACAAATAAAATGTTTGAAGAAACTGATGTTCACTTCTTTTAATACCAAAACTTTAAAATAATGTTTAATCATTTTAAGATAAAACTTTCCAAACACGTATTACATTTGTATATGTAATTTTACCTTTTCTTGATGACACAGAGTCATAGTACCAGACTATTATCAGAACATGATCTAATACAGTGATGTCCTCTAGGCTGGCCTGGCTGTCCTTACACTAAATGGTTGACAGGTTTTCATGGTTTTTCTATCTCCTTCCAAACCGTCACTTCTGAACTGCTAATATGCTAGGGCTGGGAAATCCAATAATCAAAATTTCACATAAAAACAAACATATAGAGACCTTGTGACTTATGTGGGTTGCTCAAAGGCATTTAAAAAAGAATTATTCCAAGTTTCTCAGTTGTGTTCTGTACTGATGAGACCGCTAGATTACATCTTGATGAATGAGGCATTACTGTACATAAATATTTTAAACAAGTTCATCTATTAACAAAAAGATAAAACTAAACATTAGTATCATTGCCTTTTTAAACAAAGTATTCTATAGCTTTAAGGTAACACTGGGTTCCAGTTTGTTTCCCCCAGAAATGAACATAAATAAATGTCCTATTTTAATAATATCAGTTTGTCCAAACAAAGGGGAAGAAAAAAAAAAACTGAGGTGCAATCATGTCACAGTTAATGCATGTCTGCTTCCAATACATTCAAAGACAATATTTTTGTTTAAAAATCAATAGTTAAAATAGGACTTCTGCAGTCTGAGAATTCAAGATACTTAAAAAAATTTGTAAATACACATACATGCAAATTCTTCATATATACAAATTTTCACAAAATTAAGAAGTTGCAAAGAAATTAGAAGGATTACGGTGAATCTGACAAGCTACATTTAAATGCTTTACCACTGACATATTCCTGAATATAGCAGTCATAGTAGTTTTAATAAATTTTCTACATGGCCTTTTTTATAAAATTTTTTCTTTTAGACATAAAAGTTAGTCACTAGAAGTCTTCTGAAACTCTAATTTAAGAATTCAAGATGTTCTCAATTCACTACTCATATTTTAAGGCCACTTTGGTAAAGGCATTGCAGCAAGAACACAAAAACAATAGCATATTTTCTAATATTTATTTTTTTCACCTGCAAACTGTAGCAAAACATGATCAGCTTTATTATGCAGACAGGTATCCCTCTACATTTTTAAAGAATTTAGGTATGTATAAATAGAAGAGCTCTTTAGAAAGGAAAATTCAAGAATGAATAAAACCTTCCAATTTTGACTTTGTAACTTTGCAGTAGCAATGGTTAAAATGATTTTAGGTCGTTCATTCCAAGATATATGACAGCACCTTAGAAGTGGCTGATCTATTTCCCCAGTAACATTTCTCACAGAACAATGTGTTAAAGTTACAAATACTGATATGCACAAACAGCTAATTTCTAAGAAAAATATGTACAGTACTGCAGCATAATGAATGTGGCATCTGCAATAACTTAATATTAGCCAATTTTTAATATACATGATACCGCTACCTTTTTCTGCCAATTCACAGGTTACAAGTTGTTACTGGAGCCCTCTGTTTTGCACATATTACCTGGTGTTTGATACACAATGCAGGCTTTTTAAAGACTTCTCTTGTGTTTAAAGCTCAGATCAGTGAAACAAGACAACAGTGCAAGAGGCGGAGAGATGTAATGCGACCACGTAAAAGTTCGTTCCAGTAAAGTGTCTATATAAGGCTATAAGAAAGGATTGGTTGATGAGCTTCCTGTTGGAAACTGTCCTGTTGGTGCACCAGTCTAAAGGAAAACATAAGACAATGAATAGACAAGTAAGAGTGGTATATGTGTCAAGATATGAAAAGATTAAACTTTGATTAAATCTTATTTAACGAAACTATTCAAATTAGAAATTATTTTGTAATTATTAGCAATCCTATTTATTCATTATCGTTATTAGCAACTAATATAATAAAACTATTAGGTGTCAGAAACTGTGTTATGGCCTTTAATATCCATTATTTCATATAATTGTCCTAACACAATCTAAGAAAATGCATTTACGATTCAAACCAAATCTCTGACTCCAAGCCCTTTTCACACAGTTCACTAAATCTATAGCTTTTCATAAAGCACTATTTTGACAAGAATACAGAAAAGTTTCATGCTATAAAACAGCTCATTTACTGTCAATGCTTTGATTTGCAACTGATTAATGTGTGTGTGTGTGTGCATGTGTGCATCTAAGTCAAAAAAGGATCATGTGTGACGGCTGCCTCACTATGTAAAATTTTATACTGTCACATCAGTAGAATAGCAAACAGTATCTAGGAGAGTCACATCTTGCTTTTCCCAATTTGCAAATAACACACAACTTATAAAGTGCTTAAAATTGCATCTCACTGGGGCGCCTGGGTGGCTCAGATGGTTAAGCGTCTGCCTTCGGCTCAGGTCATGATCCCAGCATCCTGGGATGGAGCCCCACATCAGGCTCCCTGCCTGGCGGGGAGCCTGCCTCTCCCTTTCCCTCTGCCTCTCCCTCTGCTCATGCTGTCTCTCTCTGTATCTGTGTCGCAAATGAATAAAACCTTAAAAAAAAAAAAAAATTGCAACTCACTTACCATAAAGGGATTACTAGATACTCCAGCAGCTGCAACTTGACCAAAAGGGGTTACCACTGGCTTTGTTTGTCCAAATGCTGCAAAACCTGCACCTTGTTAAAAGAGAACCACCAATTATAACCCATACCTTTCAGAGACAATCTGATGCTTATAAAGCCTCCTAAGGAGTTTCAGAGAAATTTCTACCAGAGCAACAATAGTAAAATATCAATATTTAATTGTTGGGTCTCATGCTCTTTCAAATACCAGAGACAAACTTCCTGTGGCACACGTAACAGAGCTTTCCTACAGTTTCTCAGAAATGGTTACTTCTGATTTGTCTCAGCTATGTAAACTGCTGACGTCTGAACTAATAGATGACTTGTGACTATCTGAGACGGACTGTGAGTAAAACACAATGGCTTCATGTGAACAACACAGTATTTGTTAGGAAATATTTCATCATTATGGCTCTGCCATGGACCTTATTTCCAAATTTTTATCTAACCACAGACACTAAAAAATACATACACAATTATAATTTAAGAATAATCTTCAAATCTATGGACTTTCAAACTTTACCAAATAAGCTTAATGGGTAAAAAAAAATCCCTGGCCTCTAGAACCAGTAACAAACTCTGACCACAATACAGTTACCTATTTGGAAAATTAGTCTAAGTCTCCAACATAAATAAATAACTTATACAAAACAGCAGATCCACAACAGCTTTCTGATGCAAAACAAAAACACTCAAGGTCTACAAAGTTTTCTTTTAAAATCAAGAGGCATATTAAAACATACAAGAGAAATTAATAAGAAAGAGAGTTGGGGGGGCCTGGGTGGCTCAGCCGGTTAAGTATCTGACTCTTGATTACAGCTCAGGTCGTAATCTCATGGGTCTGAGATCGAGCACCACCTCGGGCTCCGCTCTTAGCAGAGAGTCCCTTCAAGATTCTCTCCCTGTGCCCCTCCCCCAACTCATGCACAGGCTCTGTCTCTCTCTAAAATAATTAAATAAATCTTTAAAAAAAAAAAAAAGAAAAAAGACAAGACACAGGAGATTCTAAGAAGGGGTATTCTTTAGACAGTCTCTGATTTCTCCTAAATCTATAACCTGGTCACAAAAACTTACCAAAGCATTCAGTTTTCTAAGGCCCAAATCAAGGAAGGCCTTTATATTTCCGCAGTAAACGTTTAGCAGACAGTGCCACAGCATTCTCTGGACAAGCCTTTATGCCCAAACATACAAGATTACGATACATAAAGGGTATCTGAAGTGGACTTACAGCTAGCCAAGTGTTAGATCTTACCATTGGGCTGTTGAGAAAAAGCTGTCTGTTGAGGGAAAGCGGCTTGGGCTGGGAAGGCAGGCTGCTGGAAGCTGCCGCTGAAGCTGGTGGGAAGACTGTAGGAAGCGGGAGTCCCGAAGCCCGCGGGCATGCTCATGGAGGCGGTGCCAAAGGTCGCGGCTGACAGGAAAAAGCAAGGGCTGATCACTGACACACAGAGGAGCAGGCTCTGCTCCTCACACCACACTACAGAATGATTTCACTTGAAAACATTAAGTTGTACACCAAAGGCATTTTAAATTCCAAAACGCTAACAATGTTAGTAGTAAGTTTTAGCATTATACAGTGTAACACAATCTATAAAATGTTGTTCTGCTGAAACCCAATGACCAGAATGACACTAATAAAGCTATCATTTGAAATCACAAGAAAACTCAAAGTAATTAAAAGCCTAAACAGCAGTCAAATTTAAAGCCCATCATCATGCAAGTCACATGTATACTAATATACATTTCTGCTTTTAGTTTTGTTTTGCTATATACAGTAAAATAGCCAAAAATTGAAGTTTATCCACTGAATTGTCTGCTATAACGTAGTAAGTATGTTCCTGACAAAAAAATTTTAGAACTTCTAAAAAATAGTTCATTGAAGATAATGAGACTTATAGGAGAAATAGAGTTAGAAGCAGGCCTCTCAAAACCTATACAGCTTTGTAACCAAAGGCCAAAAGGCGGGGGGGGGGAGGGGAGGGATGGCTTTCCCTAATAAAACCACTAACACAATTAAAAGAACATGTGAAGTTCTTAATACATCAATTCCAAAAGAAATATATGGACCACCATATCTTGTTTGAAAGATAAATAGATCGCTTTGGATAAGGGGTTTAAGGTTAGGACTCCTGAGTTGTAGAGATTAGGGCAAAATGCATAAAGACTGAAAAGGTAGTGAAATAAGCATTCTTAGAAAAGATGGATGTAGGGTGAATTACTGCTGTGATCTAGACTGCACTGAAATCAGTGTGTTAACAACAATCACTACACATGTGGTATGCTGTCGTCATTCGTCCACTTACGCATTACTTATAACCTAATCTGCATTACAGAAGCTCACGTAGCAGGGGCGCCTGGGTGGCTCAGTAGGTTAGGTGTCCGAATCCTGACTTTGGCTCAGGTCATGATCTCAGGATTGTGAGATCGAGCCCCACATCAGGCTTTGGGCTCTGAGAAGGGCCTGCTTAAGATTCTCTCCACCCAACCCCCGCCCCGGCCTCCCTCTCTCTTAAAAAAAATTTAAAAAGAAACTCATGTAGTAGCAAAACAGTATACTACTTACTGCTAGTGAAGATTAAAAACAGAACCTTATGAATGTATGTTCTAGAAAAAGTCCTGGTAAAGTAAGAGCCAATAATGGTGCTTTTAAGGAATACTAGCAATTACAATAGTGAAATACTGTTGGCATGATGCTATCAGAAACATGGTAATTCACTGAATTTGATTTAAAAAAAATTTTAATTTACCAACTTGCTGACTTAAGGCACAGGAATTATTACTAAAAATGTTACACAGACTATATTTTATTTAAAAAAAAAAAACCCTGGAAGTCATGTTATGGATACTGCCCAAAGTAATCTTATAATCCTATTGTTTATAACAATGCAGTTTTTCTCAATGAACCTAATCAGAATGCCGAATTTTTTGAAATTACGATTGATGAGAAAACAGGAGAAACAAGCCACTAGGAAGCAAGTGAATTAAAGAATAATAAGCACACTGCAAGGGAAACAGAAGGGTTTCATAACAGACAACAAAGCACTGACAAGCTTTGACAAATCACTTTTTAAGAAAGCACTAAAAAGCGAAACTTCTATACAGTTAGGCAAAACCAAACTCCATGGAATAATGTGGTAAGATGGTTTGGTTTATCAAAAAGGTGTCAAAGTACTATGAATTCAAACTCAAGAAAAATAATCAAAAAAGCTATTAACATTCTAACGTGACCATGGAGGTAAGCGATAATGCTTTTCAGCATTAAAACACAAATCACCACAATTTTCATGTAACTTTAAATATAATGGAATCCCAATGCCACACATCCATGCCCACTCCATTGTAAAACATGGAAAAAACTTAATTCCACATGCAGGGATCCAGAACACTAGCAGAAGCTTCCACAAGCAGGTAGACAAATTGCCACACAAATCTAGGTATCAGTTGTGGCCACCTACCAAAATGAGCGTGAGGAAACACTTGAGAATGCATTGCTCCAGAAAGGCCTTATGGAAAGCCATAAAGAGACCAATGTCAATTAACTTACGGATAAGTATTGTCAAAATAAAAGTAAATTTGTTTAATTAAAAAGTCCTAAAATTAGAATACACTGTTACAAAGTGGGTAGCATAAAAATACATAATAAAAACATATCCACAAAGTCTTTTAATTTCAACCACATTGATGACACTAATATTTAACCTGTTTGAAATAAAGGGGAAATTAGAATAATAAATACCAGAGAAATAAATACCAAATGAAAAAAACCATTTATGAAACCCATTTTTAAATAAACACTAACATTTTTTTCATGTCAAGATACAGCTACGTCCATAAAAAGACTTCGTAGGCCTCAGGAGTTACACCCTATGCTATTCATAGGATTATCTAAAATGACCTAGAATCTACCTTTTGCATCTAAAAAGTCAAATCTTGCAGAGAGCACCTGAATGATGTTTGATTGTTTACAATTCTGCACTAACTAGAAATTCATAAAGATAACTCAAGTGAACTAATTAAGTATGATGAGGGGAAAATTATTCAGTGTAGATCATTAGAAAGGTGGGCACAACTTGCAGTTTACAATGTAATGGCTGAAAAGAGAAGAGAAGAGAAAAATGCATCTCGTGTAAATCTTACCGGGCATAAATGAGGTCAGAGGGGTTACACATAAATACATGTAATGAACAGAAAACACATTTAGGCTTGTAAGTACTAGAAATTGTTTTTTTAACCATCTGGAACGGACATGTTTCTAAAATATATGCCCACGCATTTTAAATTAGCATACTTAACCAATTAAATGTGGAAAAACAGAACGACTGAGAGATTAGAGTGGTCAGGAGTCTTGGTTCTGTCATTTTCTAAGTACAGAAGGTTATTTAACTTCTAGAAGCTTCCATTTCCTCATATGCAAACAGGAGGCAGAGGGAGGGATAACAGTACCTACTTGACAAAGCTGCCATGAAGATAAATTTAACAATAAATTTTTAAAAAGTGCTATAAATATTCAATGGATATATTTTCCTTGCTAATAACTTTAAAAGATGTATACTTAAGAAATACATCAGTACTGTGTTCTGAATTCAACAGAAGGGTTAACTGAGGAGGAAGGGTTCTATAATAAATAAGTTAGGTCACTCTATGTTTATCTCCTTCTTAAAATCCGTAAGTCTCTTGAGAAGTCCTGCACTAAGAGTTAAATTGTTTATACCAGCGTTTCCCACATACGTTTGGCCCTCTTCCATGGAGTATTTGATAACATCTCAAGAGTCAAGCTCTACAAAATACACTTTGGTACAAACTGACCTTTAGTCAACAGTGACTGAACCAATATGAACTGCCGTAACCTCAGTCTGCAATAATGATGCCCTCTTAAGCTCTAGTCCTGGACTGCTATAAAACTTTAGACTTAACAGCTTTTTGAGATATAATCCACATTATCACACTATCTGTCCACTTAAAGTGTAGAATTCAATGCTTTTTAATATTTTCCCAGGGTTGTAAAACCATCACCACAATCGAACTGTAGAACATTTTCATCTCCTCCACCCGCCCCCCCCAAGAAATTCCATACCTATCAGCTGTCACCCTCCCTCTAACCTCCCCTCCTTTCCGTCTCTACAGATGTGCCCATTCTGGACATACCACATTACAAATGGAATCACAGGTTATACATTACTCTGTGACTAGTGTCCTTTAGCCTAATGTTTTCAAGGTTCATCCATGTTGGAGCATGCATCAGGACTTCATTATGGTTTATTAACAACAAAGTTCCATTGTATGATTATAACACATTTAGTTTATCCATTCATCAGTTGATGGACATTTTGGGTTGTTTCCACTTTTTGGCTATTATGAATAATGCTACTATGAACATGTGTGTACCAGCTTCTATGTGGATGTACATTTTCATTTCTCTTAGGTTATATTCTTAATCAGTGGAATTAGTGGAAAGAGGAAACAGAGCTGGTTTAGAAGAGTTCTGGGTGCAAATATAAGATGAGTCATTAATCAATTCTGAAAGTTTAAGGCAAACCCATCAAATCGGTCTCCACCTAGGTAATAAAACTAGGAGGCTGGTCTAGATGCTACAATTATTCTTTCACCTCTACATTTCTATTAAGTTTATCTCCTTGAGGGTGAAGAAAATCTTTTACATCATTCATTCATTAAAATGAAGTTAGGGAAATAAAGACTATTCATTCCATAGCAAAGGACAGAATTATAAGAGAATTTCATAATAACTGAAAACTGTATTTAACTGTTAGGATTTAAGGCCTCAAAAGCTCTGTAAGAAAGAATGCTATTATAGAATCCTGAAACGAAAAAGGTCTTAGGCCATATTGGCTAATATCCTAATGAAGGTTTCTATGTAACATGGTGAAAGAAAATTAAAGCCCCAAAGCTTTATAAATGCAGAAGAAAAATGATTAAAATATGTATTTTAAGAAAGAAACATTATCAGTAAAACATTTTAAATTTTGCAAAGAACTACTACGCAATAACCTCCTTCAAAAGCTACCTCAAATGGAATTTAACAAAATACCTGAAAGCAACAAAAAATATTTCCTAAAGAATATTAATTTTGACATTGGAAATTTCTAAGCATAGTATATTTATCAAAATACTATTCATATTTCAACTTCAACAGAAACATAAGTAGTTAACATTTACTTTTAATCATTTCTGTAACAAGGTGATCAATGTGATAAAGTGGTTTATAATGGAAAAACATTTTTTACCTTGAAATAAGACTTTGTGGACACAATTTACCTTTCAATTGTGCTTAGCCTAATACTAAAGATCACCTTATATCATCTGAACATACATCGTACCTTTTACATTCTTGTACATCCTATGTAGATCCTTAACTTTAAAGGACTTTCATACTCTACATAAAATAAGCAAAAAAAGCCCTTAACTCTAATGACAAACCAATTTGGAGGTACAGTCATGAAAGGAAAATAATAGGAAAGATTTACCAACCATCTAGGATAATGCAAAGACCATGCACAGTGATTTGTATCATCTGAATTCTCACAAAAACCCTGCCAGTTGGAGAATATTTTTCACATTCTATAGAAAAGGCTGACAATAAGGCTCAGAGAAGTTAGATCAATACAAGCTTAGTCAAGGTACAATCTGAGTTTCCATCCTTCAGTTGTCAGATGGGGTTATAAAGGCTATAAAAACTGCGACAGTATCTTGCAAACAATTTTAAACACTCAACAAATGTTAGTACATCTTCCTAACATCTTTACTCTACTCTACTCATACACAATTAACATTTAAATTAGGATCACCTAGCATGTAAATACTAAATCAGCATCTGAACACAAGTCTGGCTGTACCGAAAACATATTCACTTAACTTTTCTGAGCTTCATTTCCCTCAGCTGTCAACATGTATTTGATGAGAGTTAAGAGGACTAAATAAGACAATGTACAGAATCCTATGTGCCCAGAGACATCTTACATATTCATTCCACTAAGTCAAAATAATGTGCTAAGAAATAGAAATGTTACATATATCGTAAATGATGAGTATTTCCATCCAAAACACAACAGAAATTAAATCGCTGATTAGGTATACCTGAATTAAAACAAACTTTTAAAAAAAATTATGTGGAATTAAAATACTTATTAAACATCTATTATGTGAGATACCAACAAATTATGACTGAAGAAACTCCTACTACCACAATTCCTAATCTTGCCAATGACACAGATTTGCTAATAATTACCAATTCTTATGGCACAAATTATGTTACAAGCACCTTACTCTTTCAAGATTTCACATCAATATATGCTATATGCATAAAGCTTTAGTTCTAAAATTATTGAGACACGTACACAAAACAAAGCTGGCCTTAATGGGTTTCAAGCTATACCACATGTATTTGCTGACACCCCAAGATACTGGGAAACAGTTCTGGTGTTCAGGGTGACAGGACAAAAATCAAAGAGGCGCAATACGAAAACTATGCGGCTGGCTTGCAGCATGAACCAAAAAGAAAAAAGGGAAGGAATAAAGAGGATTAAAAAATTATCAAGAGAAAATATTCAAATATTGTATCCCAATCAAATCAGGTTTGCACAACTTAAAAAATGTGAATGCCCTAAAAGAGAGAAGCACTAGAAAAGACCTAACTGCTAAGACCTCATGTAACAAAGCTAATGCGTTTTTTGCCATCTCATGAAGAGGAAAACACAAACAAAAAAAAAAAACTTCTCACAAATTTTTCCTATTAAGCTTGAATGAGTAATAACCAGTAATTCCAAAACCAGACCACCAAATGAATCAGAATTACTACATTCAAAAGTCCCATCTCGGTCACAAAGTGGCTGCATGGCTCTAAGAAGTCTCGCCTCCGTGCTTGGGCTGCCTCACCTGAAGAACGAAAGCTGTGACTGAGCGGTGGGGGCCACTAGAGAACTGCTAGGGTCCCTCTCAAATATGAAAGTCCAGGATTTTATAAGCTTTCAGCTACCGTACACTTTACGGACAAGCTCTTCCATCCACTTCCCATTCACTACAGTAAGAAAGAAGAACTTTATTTTCTGATGTTCTTCCCATGGTGTCTTTGCAATAAACAGACAGCTTTTCCAAAGTTTTCTGTTCTATAATCCATATTTATTTCCTACCTGTTGCTCCTCTGGCATTGGTCTGAAATGGATTTGTAGAAGATGCCACAGAAGGACCAGCAGCAGCAACAAATGGATTTGTGGAAGGCGTAGCTTTAAAAAATTACAAAAATACACTATAAAATCCTAATATATTTGTATTCAATTATTAAAAATATGCATACATTTATGAAGATAGAAAATTAGAGCTTTCTGGTAATAAATTGTTGCTTTCATAGCCTTCCAGTATTCCTAAGAAAATGCAATACAATATACACAAGCTCTTTATAAAAACCAGTCTATGTACCAGAAACACTACCTCCAAAGGGAGCAGGCACACTGGAAGAAGCGGGCTGTGTCTGTGCCGAAGCACCCACTGGCACTGTTCCGAAAACACTGCTGGAAACAAAAACAGAAAGAGTTCTTTTTATTTTTTTAAAGCAAGGGTAACCAGTCTACAGGGTGGCCATAAAATGTGGAAACAGGTAATACTGAACATACCATATATCACAGCAGTTCTTAAACTTTACATCTCAGGACTCATTTACATTTTGAAAAGTTACTGAGAACCCCAAAGAGTCTTTGTGTAGATGTGCTGTATATTATATTAATAATATGTATAGTACAGAAATTAAAACAGAAATTTTTTTAAATTTCATCCTTTTAAAATTAACCATAAAGCTATTACATGCTCACATAGTAGCATTTTTATGATAAAGAATTATTATTTTCTAAAACCAAAGGAACTTAAGAGTCACAATGGTATTTCTGCAAATCCCTTCAATGGCTGCCTTAATAGAAGATTGTCCTGTTGTGATACACTGTTTAAAGTATAAGAAGAAAAACTGCTCACAGACACCTAGCTGAACAAGCTAGGAGAATCTGACGAGATTGAGCACATTCAGGGTGGTATGGCCGTAGACAAACTAGGAGAATCTGAATAGATTTTTCAGGTAACTGAATACTTTCCTTGGTATCATACCAAAAATGACAGTGATAGTTTACTAACGGTTAGCTGCAAAATGGAATCTGAAATCATATCAATGAATTCCTTTGCACTCTACTGAAGTAACACCTACTAACCTATCTTGCACTTTAAATGAATCTTTTATCAATTTTATATCATTTGGAAAATATCTGATGCAAATCTTATAAATGTCAACAATTTCTTTATGCAAAAATCAAAAATTTACATTCAGTAATATCACCACTCATCTTATCAAAAAGTAATGTGAAGCTGTCAAGCTCATGGTGGAGCCAATAAATTTTCTAAAATTCTAATATTTGCTTGGAAGTATGAATTTTATCAGTTATTTTCCTTAAAGTGACAGACTTAAATATTTCATTTTTGAGAAAATGTCTGCCAAATATCAAAGTCTGAATAACCATGGTATGTCAGTCTTTTAAGGAAAACCAGTGTTCCATAAAATAACCAGTGTTCCATAAAACAATGGGTATATCCATTATTATATGTGGCTGGTTCATTCCACAACTCAAGCAACCACACAAGCTGACTGCCCACAAGTCACCCACCGTACTTCAATATGCAGCAGAAACTACTTGATACATACCTTACTTGAACACATAGAAAGTTAGGACATTATTTAAGGATCAATATTTAATAAAATTAGATTTTTTAAAAAGATTTATTTGAGAGAGAGAATGGGGGGGCAGAGAGAGAGAGAGAGAGAGAGACGGAGAGATCTCAAGCCGACTCCCCACCCAGCTCAGAGCCCAACGTGGGGCTCCATCCCACCACCCATGAGATCATGACCCAAGCTAAAACCAAGAGTCGGACGTTTAACCAACTGAGCCGCCCAGGCACCTCAGTAAAATTAATTTTTTTTTTATGGTTTCATCAAGAATATTTGTAAAAATATATAAATAAGTCATAGGGAAGTAATGTACAGCACAGTGACTATAGTCAATAATATTATAGTGCATACTTGAAAGTTATAAAGAGAGTAAATCCTAAAAGTGAGCTCTGTATAGGGACGGACAGTAACTACATTTACATGATCATTTCACAATATACACAAACATCAAATCATTATGTTATACACCTGAAGTCAATGTTATATACCAATTATACCTTATTTAAAAAAAAAGAATATTCATAAGAAAGACTATTCACAAGTAAAACTGAAATGTGTGGTGGTAAGAAATATAATGACTATTAGATGACTACTACTACAGTTTGGTGTTGTGGTCTTAATCTGTGCTAAAGTGCTGGCAAGTTTTTACTTGTCACTGTTTTTGCACCATCAATACAAATGTCAAATACTAAAAACACAAATAACCTGTCAGAATTATTGTGAGTATCATTTTAACTTCAAAGACCCCCTGAAAGGGTCTCAGGTACCCCAAATGTTCCATGGACCACACTTTGTGAACCACTAATACATGGTAATATAATATCAATAAACCATTTATGTATACCTATGTTTCCAGACTTTATGGTCACCTTGCTATAGATCACTATTATATATGTCTAACACAGACCATCTTAATGAAACAAGATATATATAAACACTCTAAACTTTATTCTTTGGATTCAATTACTCCTGTTTGGCATATAGAAAATTAACTACTGGAGAGTCCAAGTAGTTAGTGTTACAATCCTCCCATTTCTCTCTAGAAAAGATGCTAAAGGGAAACAAAAAGGTACTCAGATAACAGAAGAAAGAAGAGACAAGTCTGCAGGATGGAAAACAAAGAGATGGATAAAGCACTGCATGGTAAGTCACCTACACTTCTGCATCTGTTTCCTTCAGAAATGTAGAAGTTACAACTATAAGAGTTTTTAAAGATCTATTGCTGTTATAATGTGTTAAGACTTCCTGCTGCCAAGAAGTCCCTCACATCAGATATATTTGAACACAGTTAAGGACATATCTATGTGTTAATACCAGTAGGACACTGACGAGATACAGAATTGGGTCTTGGATTCTCTTGCAAACATTTCTAAAAATGTTTATTTACAACTAAAGCTACAACATGTTACTTACAGTGTGTAGTCTTCATGACTAAGATAAAAGTATCTAATTTGCTAAATGGATTTTCTGCTCAGTATAATTAAATCTGTATATAACCCCTCACTCTGAGATGTGTACATACTCTCAATTACACTTTCGTGTTCAAGGAAGAAAAGTAACAAAACCTTTGATTAAATAAAAACTCAAGGATATTTTAATTAATAAATTACACTCAGTTTCTGCAAACTACAAAAATATTCAAGAATTTAAAAAATATGTCCCCAGTCATTATTTAACATTATTATTCAGAGTTGAAAAAAAAAAGATGCAACATGAAGCAGGAACATTGACTGAGACAAGGTACCTGCTGGCATTACTTGTGGAAGTATATGCGTTACTGGAAGTGGCTGCAGAGCTGAAAACGCTGTCCAGTTCTGCCAGGGCTGCATATTTGTCTGAGGATGCACTTGACTGACTGGGAACTGAAACCACAGAACCAACAGGAGCTTTACCTGCGGTCCCAAAGCCACTCCCCTGATCACCACCTATAAACGAACAAAAACAAATTACACTGAAAACTTAGTTATGCTTTCAATTTATCAACCACATTTGCCATGAAACACGTGTAAATTTAAAACCGATTTAAAGCTAAGTAAATAAATAGACAGGACTCTACAGTCTTATGTAATAAAACTACCTAGAAACCATCCGACAAGATTAGTTGCTACAGGTACCACTGTGGTAGAGACAAAATACTGTTTCTGTAACAAAAACGAACACTCTGTACCAATAACATGTCTAGCTTATGTATAAAGAACATATTCTCAAAGTGCTACATTAACATCTCCAGAACAGGTGATTCTCATTCAAGTGAACATACAAATTTATAAAATGCTAGACCCAATGTGAACCCATAAACAGTATCATTTTGCCAGGGTTGTCCATGAAAAAGTTAGAGACAGTATTAAGAGGAGACATTTACACAGCACTTATCATGTGCCAGGCACTGTTCTAAATGACTGAGATACAATAACACGTATGAGTTCAATGCTATTACTACCCTCATTCTGGAGCTGAGAAAGCACAGTCAGAGATCAGGATGCAGACTCCAGTCCAAAGCAGACCTCTGCTGTTCTCAACCACACTATGCATTTTTAGAGGCAAAATACTGGGGCTTAAGATCAAAACCAGGTATAAAAATACACTGTAAAAATAATGGGTTTGTTTTTTTTTAAATACCAACATAGTAATAGTAAAAATAGTTCAAAACGAATATATTACAAAAACCACCATATAACCCTCCAATCAGCACTATTAATAGGATATGTTGGCCCTCTATGGCCTTCCAACAGTGAAGCATGCTTTCTAAGACAAAATTCAATTTTGTCAATTACTTTCTTTTAAAATTAGAAGTCTACAAATAGTTTCTAGGCCTTCCAAAAGGCCTATTATTGGATTATTTCACATTCAAAATATGGGAAATAGTCATGAACCTTTAGTATGGAGAAAATTTCTTCACAACTATGAAAAGCATAACGACCTTAAATTGTAATAAATGCAACCAAATCTAGAGGACTGTTTAATATACAAATTTGTATTTATTTTGTTTAAAGCTTAATACCTTGCCCAGCACTGAAGATATTGTCTAAATTAGCAAGTGCTGCATATTTGTCTGTAGTCTGTAGACCAGCTTTGTTCGTTGAAACTTTACTAATAGCTGATGCTGTTTGATGACTCTGGGAAGTATTGAAGGTTCCAAAATCAGCACTGGAGGATTTGGGGAAGTTATCAAAATGAGCAAAATTAGCATTTACTGATCCAGCACTTCCACCTGTAACAGAATAAACAAAACACTTGAAATTTCTAGACTTCTCCTAAAATCCTTTGATAGATTATATGATTTCTTTCTTAATTAAGTGTTCTATAAGCAATTCTACTGGCAAAAGGCATTTAATTTTAATCATCTACACAGGACTTTTTATAATTTGAGAAACTACATTTTCAAAGGCCCTGGCAACATGTAGGGTAACAACTTACTATGTGTAATTATCTACCCTCAAGTAAAGACTATAATTCACAGAAGAGTAACTCCTTGCTACCGGGTTTGAGACTTAGTTATTTTATAAACTATTCAGCTATCTATATACTATCACCTTTTACTAGTTCTCCCTAAATGGACTCCATAAGCAAAACGCAAAGTATACTATAAGCTCTTGTAGCTCCAAAAGAGACAGGGTTGAAACAAATCCCAGGGTAGAGATTTAAAATGTTTAAGATGTACTATTTTGAGCCACAATATCTTAAAAAGTGGTCTTTGAGCTTTAGGCTTATTTTACTTAAAGAGCTAATATTTAATTCCACATAATAATTTAATGTACATATAATATCATGATCGTCCTCAGTAAAATCATGCCCTATTATATAGTTTAAGGAATAAAAATTATAGTACACAATGTATAATCTAAGTATCATACCAATTTTTTAATTTATAGATCACAATTCACCTAATGGTCACTAATTCTGCTAAGATTTTAAAGACTGTTCTATACTCTAGAAACTTCCCTGAAGTACTATCAAAAGACTAAAGCCAGACTATTTCTTTCTATGCTTTTGATGCTACACTGTTGGCATTAGCTCTTTACACCCACATATTAGTTTCAGCAATCAAAATAGTATATACATATACCTATATATTAAATGATAGCAAAGCACAATTACAGATATTTTAAAAAACAGAAAGATACAGCCCTATTTTAAAAAAGAGAACACAAACACTTTACCATCAACTAGTATTACAGACATTGTAAAATTTATACTGATAAAATTTCTTTCAGGAATTAAACTCCAGTTGTTTTCAATCAAAACTAAGTAAGATGTGTTGGTATTTAACATTGTGATCTGTTACAAGTAGCTGGTGAACAAAATATGTAATACTAAGCTTTCAAAATTTGTATGATGAAATTTACTTCAAATTATTAAAAACTAAATTATTAAATCAACTCTTTTATTGTATACCACTGTGTTCTCTAAATCTGAGTTTAGTAATAGTGAAGAGAGAATAAAAGTGAGAATTTCAGAATGATTATCATTAAGAGATGAGTAATATTCTATAATTGAAAAATCCATGAAACAACATAAAACGTACAAATTAGTAAAAGATGCCTACTTGACAACAGAACTTACTGTTGGAAGCCTGGAGAGGAAAAGCTGAAGTAAATTCACCAAAACTGCAGCTAGATGAAAGCATTCTAAATGCTGGACAGCCAGAAATTATGTAAATGATGGAATTTAAAGAAGAAAAAAAAAAGAAAATTGAAAGAAAAGTCTTTAAGACAATACACAGAGTTAAAAGTTGAAAGAAAAATAATCAGCCAAAGATCTAAAGGAGGGTTCAATGAGATTCTGAAAACAATACAGTTTATGGGAGAGTACTCAATGCTTAAAGACCGATTCCTGCACAGAAAACTATTTCCAGTCCGATTAGAGTGACTGTTCAATGATCTCCTTTTGACTACCAGTATTTATCTTCTCAAGCTTGCTGCCCTGAAAATTACTTTTATTTGTATGGAAGCGATCCTTTATTCAATGTGCTCTGTGAATTTAACAAATTTTTAGCACTGTAATGCTCCTGTGCGTAAAGAAATTTAAGGAAGATTCATACACAGGAAAAGGAAGAGAACAGACACTGTGAATTAGACAACACACCAGAAAGTTAAAAAACAAACAAACAAACAAAAAAACCAGATGAACATAGAAAAAAAGATTTCAGGTTTCCCCAGAGCTTTATAAGGATAGAACTATTTGAAAATCAAATAATTATAGAATTTAAGTTTAGGATAATTTTTCAAACTACATCTAGAGAGTTTTGTGTTTCAAAGTAAACATTAAAGCATAATGCTGGAGAAGCTCTACCTGTAGTTTGGGGCTGAAAAGGAGAGTGACTCGCTGTGGGGAAACCTCCAAAATTACTCGAACCACTAGACTGTCCAAATGCATCAAAGTTTGCAAAATCTGCATTTGCAGAATTCTGAGCTGTAAATGGTAAGGAACAATATATGTTAATGAATATGAAAATTATAAATGAAAAATATGACAAGTGAAATTTTATGAAAAGTTTGTCTCACAACTCACTTTAAAGAGAATTCATTTAGAAATCAAATCTTAAATCCTACCAGTGTTTATTTAACCCAGTTTCAAGCAATTCACTGAAAAGTATCCAAAAATTTCCCCCAAAACACTTTGTATAACGATAAATGTGTACACAATACCCTTTGAATAACCTCAGGAATAGTACAGTAAAAGTGATTCTATTAAAGGACACTCTAAGAGCATTAAATACATGAGTTACAGTAAAGCAAACAGAGATGTAGGATATAGATTACATTCTGGAAAATTCAGATTTAAAATGGTAGTAAGTGATTCATCAGCTATGTGAATCTAAAATAATGATACAAAGAAGGTTAAATATTCTTTTTGGCTTTTTTCTAAGTTTACAACTATTTTACACCATGGCATATAAAGATGAAAAAATTGAATGTTTAACAACGACATGATTGTCAAATAAATCAAAGATATCCACATTCTGTTTAGAAGCCTGCCATTCTTCACACATACTAAAATTTGAGAAATGATGAAAACAGTAAAATTTATAACATTAGTGTACTTCAGACTCAGTGAAAAAGACCAACTGCTTTTTTCCCCACAGATCATCAACATAAGAGCAAATTTTTAGGCTTCTCTAAACTTAAAATATGTAGCTAAGTAAAATAATTCAGAAGACTTTTTTTTAAAGGCTAAAATGGATGCTGAATAAACTTTTTATAGAGAATATGATGAGAAGTGGTTGTTATGCAGGAAAGGGAATGCTAAGTGGGAAGAATGAAAAGCATGCCCAAAAGATAAAGGTTAAATGCCATCAACATAGTAAAAGTCAGCCACTTTAAATCCTTTGCAGGCAATTTCACTTCAAGGAAGTTTTCATAAAGGAATAATCTTGTAAATGAACATGGCTACATCTAACAACTAAACAACATATGTGTTTTATAATAATAATGAAAAAAATTTAAAAACTCAAATGGCCAGTAATGAGGGATCACTTAAATATATTATGAAACATCATACAAAGAAATATAAGGCAGCCATTTAAAAAAAAAACACATAGAACACGTAGTCCTATTCAAAAATGCTTATGACAAAGTAAACAAGATAAACAGGTTAATAAATTCCAAATACATTTTCATTTGCCAATTTTGTTAGCATGGTATCACGGGCACAGAAAATCTGCATTTTCGTTAACAAAAGTAGTGAGTTTTCAGATTGGTATCATTTTCTCCTTTGCTTAAGTTTACTAGGCTTTTGCAATAAATATGTATTCTAATTTAGACAAACCAAAAAAAGTTACTAAACAAGAAATTTTCTGCTAACAAAGTAAATTATTATTCTAGGAAGATAATCAGGAAAACTTATAGCATTTTATGTAATTACTCTTTTGTGTCTATCTGAAAGGGTATGACTGCAGCAGGGGGAAATGCACCTAAAGTAGACCTCCTTTTACTAGACACCTCCTTTACTAGACACACTTCCCTTCCTACGTCCTCACATCCAGCACTTCTGAGAGGTGGAAATGCTATGCTATATATACATATCACTGCTCATACTTTGTTCTTGAAAACCTTTTTTAAACACATTTGTCCAAGCTCTCAAACATTACACAGAGGTATCTAAATTAAAAGGCTGCTTATCATGTAACAAAATAAATTTTGTATTTTCTGGACACTCTGAAATCTTTTGTTATTATTTCTAATTAACATAATAAGATTCAATTAACAGCTGAGATTTTACTTTCCCAAAAATAAACACAATGAAAGATATACTAATAAATAAAGGATCAATATATTGAAAAATATTTTGAAAGAAATACTGACACAAGTTTAAATAATAAATATAAGTTTAAACCCAGTTACCATTTAGTATAATCAAATAAGTTTGTGAAAAGGGAATCCAAAATAATCAGAGAATTCCATCCTAACATGAAAACTGTACAGCCTTGGACAAGTCCCTCAATTGCTCAGGCTCCACCAGTTTTTTCACTAGCAAAACAAAAGGATTCACTAAATGACCTGTACTTGCAAATCCAGCAGTATGACTCTATAACTTGTAAGACAACAGGAATAAATTTTTAAGAACTGTGGAATACTAGGCCCAGAAGAGGAAAATTCTACTAAAAGACAAAAGAAGTCGAATATTTAACATATAGATAATATAACTATCAACCAAAAGAATAAAAGAATATGGTATAGGAAGTTCTCAAATTTAGAGTGGGTTATATTTCAAAAGACAAGTTCTAAGTTTCCTGAACAATTTACCACTACATCTGTGAATAAATGAAATGCATCTATACATTGGAGAAAAAGGAATTAGGTCCCTAAGCTGGTTTATCACTTATAACCTCGAATATATGTGAATATGTAGTCTATAATAATACATACTCTATATTTAACTTACATTTAGACCATTATAGGGAAAATACATATTTTAACATGTTTCAAACATCATCAGGAAACAAATCAGTTCAACAATCCATTTTGTTAGTCAAGTCTATTTTACCACATTTGTAAACACTGGTGTTTTCCAACTGGAGCACCAAACACGTTAATCAAGTATCTATTCATTATAGCAAAGCAGGACTTTGTAATACTTCTTTCGCAGTTTTTATATGGAGACATTGTACCTACTCAGTGTCTTCAACAAATGGTTATAGTAACTTTTAAAATTGGTAAGTACTGTCGAATGACATTTTAGAAACCACAATTCTGGAAATTAAACACTAATAAATTCAATAATAACAAAAATTACTAATCTGTAACCTCAAGCAATCTCTATACAAAGAAATATAAACTGAACAGAATGTAACAAAACAGTAAAGATGCTTTTTAAATATAATCTTATCTCAAAAAGCACAAAGAAGTAATCTCAGTTTAAGAATTTAAGGCACTAAAGTTAATGAGCCTAAGTCTTGCTGAGAATTGTCTTTTCCTCTCCAGTGAGATAGGGTATTTATGAGAAAGGAAGATAAACGTAGAGACCAGAGACAGAAACTGACTGCCTTCATCAAATTCAGCTGAATTTGTTTCACCTACATATTTAAATTCTTTTTCATCAACCCCAACACTTAGAACACCGCACATTAAATAAACAAGCTTTCTTGCTTCTCTTAAAATCAGTGTTATCTGGTAGTCCTGAGGCTGTATATCCATGTGTCAACAGGGGATTAGAACATCCCCCTTTGCATGTGGTTCCTTCCACAATGCATTATATTACTCACTTGTGTTAACTGGGTGGCAAGACAATGAAGTTTAACATCCATCCCTAGTACAAGGTGTGACAAACATCAATGACAGTTTATAGTTCATAGGTTTGTGATAGGTATACTACCAACCAAGCAAAGTTAACTATTAAATTCTGTAGGTTAATTATGTTTCTGAGTAAGTACTTCTGTAGAAGATGACTTTTCCTGAACACAGCAATAATCCCACCACTGATACACATCCTCACATACCACGTCAGCCAGGATGTTCAGAGGAAGGGTGAAGACGTCTGGCTTTTAAGCCATTAAACTATCTGAAAACATAATAGGTTTCCCTATAAAATAATGCTAACTAGATTGGCATATCTGAGTAATTATCATTTGCTATTAAAAGTTCCGTCATATCAATCTGTCCACGAGAAAATTTTCACCTTAAAAGGTTTTTTGTTTTTTTTTTTTTTCTTTTTTTTAAAGATTTTATTTATTTATTCATGAGAGACAGAGAGAGAGAGAGGCAGAGGGAGAAGCAGGCTCTCAAGAGCAGGTTGCCCGATGCGGGACTCGATCCCAGGACACTGGGATCATGACCTGAGCCGAAGGCAGACGCTTAACCATCTGAGCCACCCAGGCACCCAACCTTAAAAGGTTTTTTAAGAGGTGCCTGGGCAACTCGGTTGGGCGTCCAACTCTTAGGTTTTGGCTCAGGTCATGATCTCTTGGGAGACTCTGCTTGAGGATGCTCTCCCTGCCCCCCTCCACCTGCTGCATGCATGCTCGCTCACATGCCCTCTCTCTCTCTCTAATAAACAAATCTTAAAAAAAAAAAAAAAAAAAACTTAAAAAAAAAAAAACACATGGAAATTTCAGGGTGCCAACTCAGCTATCAATGACTTTATATTTGTGGGCCATACATGGAAAAATAAAAGATTCAGGGTTCTTATAAAGGCTAGGGGAAAAGACATAGAATGGAAAAAGAGGAAATAAATGAATAATTTTACTAGCTTCTTCTTGTAGCATGTGTATATATTTTATTCTGGAATCAAATGGAGTTTTTTTTTTTTTTAAAAAAAGGTGATTTGAGTGTGCATCTGTAAATAAGAACTTTAGGCTAAAAAACTACTCCTCTTAGGCAACCTGACCAACTGACATGGTTATTAAACTATATCCTCACAGACCCATCTTTCCTACCATTTCCATCACATGTGGAAAAGAGACAAAATAGTTAAGATCTACTATCTTCTAACAATCTGATAAAATTACAGGTTTCATTTCTTTCCTTTTTTCTTTAACATATTCTACAATTAAAAAATGGCTACTATTTTCAAAGAGCATTTTAAAGGAGTTACTGATGCTCTGAGTAAAATCATGCTACCAAGCAGCTTGTAGAGCTGCAATGACCTGTGTAACTATTTCTGGCTAACAAGGCTACCTGGAAGAATATAGCATTAATTCCCTGAATGGTGAATATTCACAAATTGCATTTAAAGACAAAAACATAAGGGAAACATGAAATAAGTTGCAAATTTACAAAAGAGCTTAGTAGTTATCAGTCACTTCAAATTATGTATCAGTAAGTGTAAAACTGAGATAAATGCAAACTATTCATGAATTACAGAAGGCTTACTCCATATTCTTTGATTCTTCAACTCCTTTTGCCAGCATTCAAAAGCAACAGGGGGCAACAGAGAGCTGGGGCTCCTCTCTGGTCACAGGAGACTGGCTACCCATCTGGAGGGTGAAGGGGAAAAAGTCTCTCCTGGTTTCCTGGGCTTTTCGCTGCATAGCTAACACAGAAGGGAAACCTATCACAGCCCCAACATCTTAAAGCTTCCTGACCTCTTACCCTTCTCAGTACAATCTTTGCTGAAAAAGAGATCCTCTTCATTCTAGGATCCCTTTTTAAAGCAAACACACACACAAACATATGTAAGTTACACCATAATTTCCTTCTGTAGCAGGCCCTTAGAAAATCCTTTCATTAATATTTATTTTTTTCTCATTAATATTTAAAAGAAAAAGTTCCTTTAATGCTTGCTAGAAAGAAATGTGGCTGAAGAGCAGCTTTTCCATAATTTTTCGAACTATCTTAAACAGTACATTTTGGGTGTGTATGTTTGTGTGTGTGTGTGTGTGTGTGTGTATATATATATGTATGTATGTTACACTTTATACCATTATTATCCAACTATATAAGCCAGGTCATCAAATGAAAAAGACGAACAGCATCACAATCTCACAGGTGAGTAAAAGAAGGTAAAATAAGTTCTAAAATACAAATAGGAAATCAATTCTGTAAGTGCTAGTTTCTGCTATGCTCACAAAATAGTGAAATACAAGTTTTAGAAAGATAGTCGTGAATTTTTCCTGATTATATAATTAAAGTTATGGAAATCAGTGACAAAGAAACAATAAAAAACATTAGCTAATACCCCATACAGTCATGCAAAAATATAAAGCAAAGTTTCAAATAATCAAATAAAAGGGCTACAAAATGACTAAATCAATTCTTAATTTTAGTGCTCCACATTCGGTTTGATGCTTACTCAACCATTCACAAATGCAGACAGGTAAATTTTCTGTTACATACACATCAAAGCTTACTGGCATCCAAAAGATTATTTCACACATATCTCTGATACATACAATGTAGGCTTTCAGACCGTTTACATCGGACCTTATTTTTCTTTTTTTTTAATTTTTATTATGCTATGTTAATCACCATACATTACATCATTAGTTTTTGATGTAGTGTTCCATGATTCATTGCTTGCGTATAACACCCAGTGCTCCATGCAGCATGTGCTCTCTTTAATACCCATCACTAGGCTAACCCATCCCCCCACCCCGTTCCCCTCTAGAACACTCAGTTTGTTTCTCAGAGTCCATAGTCTCTCATGGTTCGTCTCCCCCTCTGATTTTCCCCTCTTCATTTTTCCCTTCCTACTATCTTCTTTTTTTTAACATATAATGTATTATTTGTTTCAGACCTTATTAAAAAAAGTAGAAGGAAGCATAAAGAAACAACTCTAAAGACTGACTCCATTCTGACTCCAAAGCCTATTTCTTCTCACCACATTATGCCATTTCACTGTCCATTATCATTATTTACTATTACAATTAGAAAGGCACAAATGACTTCATCTATACTTTAATAATCAATTTTTAAATATTACTTAGGTAACTGCAAGGTTTATATATTCATTTACAAAACAAAACTCCGTAATTTCTAATTTCTGGTGAAGAACATTTAACTCTTTGTAACAAACATGATTAAGTCTGGGAATAAAAAAAAGAAGTCATATCTTTTACAGCCAACCTGAAGATACTGCTACTCTAAAGATGGGATAATATGAACATCAATAAAGATAATAATGACAACAGATTTGAGATGTAGCAAATGTTAAATCTATGAATCCATAATGATGTGAAACAAAAAACAGATCATTAAAATATGGTGGGGTTTCAACTCATTCTGATATGTGACTGGTCAGAATCAGTCATATATTAACTTTCCTATACAAATCATACCATTGGATAACTGAAGATTTTTGAAGAAATATTTCAGCTCATAAATGAAGGAATGATAAATTTAGAATATCAACATTTTGCATAATGGACCCAGGCACGGAGCATCAACAGCTCACATTACAAAAACGGAAACCATCAATAATACGTGCCTCTTAAACTGTAAGTAGCAGGTTTGCACCCCGCCAAAAGAATAACCTGTAACAGATCATATATCTAGAACCAACTATCAATGTATAGAGAATACAGAGAGAGGAACCTGCTAAGGGACCCCACAGTGGTGCAATCAACAAATTCAGAGTAAAATCAACTACATACTCTACAGGACAAATAACCTGATTTCTTCAACAAATAACAGAGGAGAAAATAGAGATGGAGGAAGAACCCACAGACTATGTGATATATCTCCCAAGTGCAGTGTGTACACCTTATTTGAATAAACTCTGTGTGTGTTTGTCTGAACTGGAATGGAAAATTTGAATAGTGACTAATAAATAATAATAATTATAATTATTGTTATAATTATAATTATTATTATTAGGGAATGATAACACTACTGTGGTTATGTTTAACAAAGGTCTTCTGTTTTATAGATACATATAAAATATTTAGGGATAAACAAATACATCTAAAATTGCTTCAAAATAATTAAGAGGAGCAATGTTAAGGAATAGAATGACAAATGAAACCAGATTAGGCATAAGCAATGAGTACACAACGGTTCTATTATCTGGTCACTTCTGAATATTTGCAATTTTCCATATTAAAAGGGTGAAAAAATACATTAAAAAGTCTTTCCCCATTTTTCTTTGGAAAGAGGTCATGTCAGTATCGGACATTAAGTATAATCTCTTCTGTGATTAAAAAAGCACCAGCGTTACATGGCTACATATTACACGTCAACAGCTATGAGGGCCCACCCCTCAATAGAACACATTTACTGATATTTAAGCTTTAAAAAGAATGGATCTTTCTCAGTGCTATATATATGCATCTGGCAAAAAGCTGTTGGGAAAAACACACGTACCTGCGTGACTGTTGAAATGTGCAAAGTTAGCAAAATTGGCTGTAGCTGTTGACTGAGGTGCTGGAGCAGCAAAGATGTCTGAGCCAAGATCACTTAAAAGGTCAAACTGCTTCTTTTCCTGCTGCTGCCCTTGAGAGCGACCTACAACTGGAGACTATAAACCACATATTAACTATAAAGAGCTTCTGGTCAGATGTGCTACATTTTTCTAATACTATTTCCAATTCACCAAGTTTAAAACATAGTTTTAAAGATTACATAATCTTTTATTTGTAGTTTTGAATACTTTGCGATTTTTTGAAAAGCACAAATTTTCAACATCTATTTCCAAATTATCTCTCAATTCTAAGTACAAAGGCAAAGGCAAAAAAATACTGTATTACAACAGTTGTTACACCTTCTAACACAAGGCAGACTTACCGCTAAGAGAGCAATGGTTAAGACTTTCACAAAACACATCCTTTATATGATGGGAAGAGTACAACATACTGACTTAACCCTTCTCTTTATTTTTGACTCAAACCTCTCGTGAAAACTGAGTAATTTTATCCAGATGCCCGAGTGCGCATTATTAAAAAGGGTAGGCTTTCATTCAAGTAGTACTCTGCCTCAGAACCATTCTTGTGTAGGGCAGACGTTGTAAAGCCAGACAGGAAAAAATTTGTCACAGCTCAGTCAATTGTAATAAAGTGCAGAAACACTAACTTTTTTACCAAGTTATGAAAAGACTTCAGTCTGTTTAGTTTTTTAAAATAAGGTATGTAATGCAAAGCCACCTGCATTTCGATGATAAACATGCTTCACAACCAGGCAGGGAGAAAATTCTACTGCTTAAGAAATTCCTTCTTGTAAAAGTCCATCACAGAGACTATACTGCTCTAACTCTGATGGTCCCCCTACAGTCAGGTTTTACTAAATGTAAGTTATACGACAGCTAGCTATTAACAACATTCCTGTATACCTTTACAAACCTGTGGAGCATTCAAAGAAACTAATCTGCATAGCAGAAGAGAACAAAAATATGCACCTCCCAACCACTTAACCAAGATTCTTGGAATGTATTATAAACCTTCAGGACAGAATGCTGTTGGCATATAGGTTTATGCTACTGTCTTAAAGAATTGTCAAATTCACGATGCTCACTATCCTCTTGAAGTGGAAACCTCTACAAAGCCTTCAGACTACTCACCTGACTAGGTGTGCCCTTATTTAAGTGCAGTGCTGGTGCTGAATCTCCTAAGAGAGACTTCAGTGGTTTGACCTCAGGTGTGCTGCTTGTGCTACTGGCAGAGGACCCTGAAATAGATGCATGAACTGACGCCACCACTTTGGCTTGTTCTGGAGGGACGTACCTAAAACACGAAAAATTAAGCAGGCAGTTACCTAAGAAAAACGTAGGGAATACTATGCTTAAAAATGATAAACTTAAAAAAAAAAAAAGATAAAGATAAACTTAATTCTCCTTTTTTTACGAGACTATTTCAACATTAATCTTATTTCAAAACCCTCTTAGAATTGATAGCTTAAGACTGCACTTTATTGAAATACTCAGAAAGGCTAATAAAGACTAAGCACAAAACTTGTTTCAATTATTTACTTACAATTTTTCTAAGAAAATAAATAACTTTTTTTTTTTTTTTTAGCAAAAGAGGACCTATAGTTAGGCATCATGATGAACAGTTAAAACTCTAATTTTTTAAAAACTAAACTATCATAAGATCATAAATAACATTTGGGAAGAGAGCGGAAGAGTGGGAAAATATTTATTATATTACAGTTAACAGTCTAAAATATAAAAGTCTATTACAAATCTAGGAGAATAAGATCAACAATGCAATTTTTAAATAAGCAGAAACAATTCACAAATGGAGACATAGAAATGAAAACACTTGTAACCTCATAAAAATGCAAATTAAAATTTCACATTTACTCCAAGCAAAATTTTATAAATTTTGTTATTTCCTACTAAAATATTATAAATAGATATGCTCTGTGTCCCAGAAGTACAACTTCCAGAAACTTCTTCTTTGGGATTAATTGGATAAGTAACACAGATACATGTGCATGCATGTTATCACAGCTCTCTTTATAATTTCAAAAAACTAGCTACATATCAAACATTCATCAGGAGAAAAATACTTAAAGGGATTATGTTAACATTTGTGTAATAGAATGCTACTCTTGTTCTAACACGGAAAGATGTCCCTAAGACTACAGGTCTTTCAGGTTTGATCTCAGTCATGTAAGTACAAGATTTACAGGAGGACGAGAGTAAAGAAAGGAAAGAGAGGCAGTAAGAACATAATGCCCAAACACTGCCAATGCTAATCTCTAGGGCTGGGATCACGCGAGAGCTTTAGTTCTATTTCTAGGTTTTGTCCCACTCTACCCTTCTCTCCACCCCCACCCCCCATATCACATGGGGGAGTAGGAAAACACAGTGGTTAAGAGCACCTATATATTCTAGAGACAGGTTCAAATCCCAGCTCTACCACTCAATAGCTATGAAACCTAGGGCAAACTACTTCACCCTTTGTGCCTCCAATTTTTCATCTATAAAATGGAGATATAGTTGCTAGGAGGTGTAACTGAGTTAACATTTGTAAATACTTAGAACAGTTCCTGGTACAGGTATATTAGCTACTGTTAGCTCCTATCAAATTATAGAATAATGACAATACACTGCTTTCCCAGTAAATGGAACAGATGTGATATGAAAATGGAAACAGGAAGTTATGCTTTCCCATAATCTGGTGTATTCACTGAGGATATCAAGTTTTATCAAAGGATAAAACCAGATAATACTATTTGGTTCAAAATACTCATCTGACTAAAAGTAAAGAAGCTAGGCTTGTGTAGCATAAAAGTGAGTCTGAAAACTGATCTAACAATTTCAAAACCCCTTTAGATCTAACACAACAATAACCTCAAGGTGTTAAGTACAGTGAGGATTTTTAGGGAGACTGCATTTAGATAGTGCTTATGTCATGTTAAAAACCCACTGCACTGCTCTCTCATTACATGTCCCAGGGATGCAGAAGTGTGAGTTTAAAATGCACAGGGCCTGGCCCACCTGACTGTGGGTCACTCCCTCTAGGTGCCCACCGTTCAAGTGTGTATTTGTATTATTCTTGTCATTACTACCCTGTTTCTCAGGAAGTAACATGAATTATAATTATTTGAGGTTTACAGTTATTTGGGTTATAGTCTGAATTACTAATTTTATAATTACCATCATAAATGCAAGAAGGGAATCAATGGTTTTAAATCTATTAAGTCTTACTCATGCACCCTTTTCTTTTGCTAGTTGAAAAATAAACCATCTGAAATCCCAGCTAAATTCTATTCAAACTAACTTTCTGAGCTGGTAAAACTGTTGGGAAAATCAAAATTAGGCTATAGCTATGCAAGGAGAAAGGTCTAACTACAGGATACAAGATCTTGGAAATTAAGAGCTGAAATGATAGAAGGATAATTTTACACTCCATTTTAAGAGAATCATTTATGCCACCATGTTTTTACTATTACTCCACCCTGAAAGATTTTCTTCTTTCTTCATCTAAAATTTTACTAGTATGGGAGTGCCTGGGTGGCTCAGTCCGTTAAGCGCCCAACTTCAGCTCAGGTCATGATCCCGGAGTCCCGGGATCAAGCCCTGCATCAGACTCCCTGCTCAGTGTGGAATCTGCTTCTCCCTCTGCCCCTCGCCCGGCTCTCATGCTCTCTCTCACTCTCTCTCAAATAAATAAATAAAATCTTTTAAAATTGTACTAGTATGTTTTTATCTCCCTTCATACTGAACGCATCTAGTGCCGCTGAATGTAGCCCCTGGCTGTGACTAATCTTGCCTTGCAAAAAGTAGTCTCTTCTAGAAAACAATAAGAATCCAAAGTTCGCAGAGCACACATACCAAAGCCACTTCTTTCTACTGTGCTCACTGAATAAAAATAGAGATATGTCACCCATGAACCATAGCAAGTACTCCCTCAGGATCCCCAGGGTTAAAATACAGCTCCTCGGGAAAACAAGAAACCATTTACTTCCTCCTTATCTATTCCCCCTATTTGTGACTCTCTCCTTAATTTTCTTAACCCCCCAAGAAGGAAATATATACCACTGAATAAAGAGTCTTAGTAAACTGAATTAAACTGTGTTCATATAGCTAAAAGTGACGACTCCAGAGTAACTGAATATAGTTTTATAGACGTATTTCCTGCTCTGCTTTTTAAAGGGCTTTACTAGCCATATGTCCAACCTGTTTTAACTTCTTTTAAAAAATTAACATCTGATGGATTTAGTCAGGGGAGCATAAACGCTCCCTTCTTAACCAGGTAGTAAAATGATTTCTTGGGTGAGAAGTGAGGATATTTCGATCAAAGACTTACTGCAAAATGCAATTAAGTGGATGGATTACTACACAAGAGCTTTAGCATAGTGCTTAGTATATAAAAGATGCCAAATATTTGCTAAACGAATGACGATTTTAAGAAAGAGGCTGTATAAAACTACAATGTCTTGAGAAGCTAATAGGACTACAGAAGGATTAGAAGGAAGGATCCCTAACTTTCCAAAAAAGGGTAGGAGGCCTGGGATTAAGGAACAAGCTGCTGCTAAATACAGGTGACTTAAGCAGAAGTCAAGGCTTTTAGAAACCAAATCCAATAAAATGCCAGAATATAACGAGGATCTATCTACCTACATACCTATTTCCTTATTTCCTATCTACCTATTTCCTTCCTTCCTTCCTTTTCAGATTAATCTTACCCATAATTAATGTGAGTTTGGGAGCCTTTGCTCTAAATACAAACTATTCACTCACCATCTTTTCTTTTCATACTTTTCTTGTAGGAACTCTTTCACTTTTTGTGGATCCCTGAAGTCTGGAATTGCTGAAGATCTATCATCAAATAATCCTAGCCAAATCTGTTTACAGACCTTTGGAAAGAATTAAAAAAACAAAAGTGTTAATTTCAACATCTTAACTTAATGAAATTTTAAGGGAAAATTAGGATTCTTTCAAAAAGCTAACCTACTTAATACCACTCCTTTCAATGAGAATATTTACCACAAAGAAAAATGAAGAAGCAACGAATGAAGTAAATTTTATATATCCAGTCTGCAATAAAATCTTAGCAACAGTATTATAAAAAATAACACCTCACAGGGAAACAATTAATGAAATGGGATCTGAGGGGATATGGGACTTTTTGGTCTTGAAATGACCATAAACTGTAAGCCCTGAACTAAGTCGTATACTTTTATAAACCTCAGTTCCTTCACCCATAAAACAGAGGAATTAGACCAACAGCAATTTCATGGATCTTTGACAGATTTAAAAATCAACCAAAAAAGCGGCGCCTGGCTGGTTTTAGTCAGTAGAGCATGTGATTCTTTCTTTTAAAAAAAGATTTATCTATTTACTTATTTGAAAAAGAGAGAGCGCACACACTTGTGCATGAACGGGGGGGGGGCAGCAGCAGAGGGAGAGGGAGAGGGAGAAAAGAGTCTTAAGCAGACTCTGCATTGAGCATGGAGCCAGAAACAAGGCTCAATCCCAGGACCCTGAGATCACGACAGGAGCCAAAACCAAGAGTCAGACGCTTAGCCAACTACGCCACCCAGGTGCCTCTAGAGCATATGACTCTTGACCTCAGGGTCATGAGTTAAAGCCCCATGTTGGATGCAGAGATTAATTAAAAAAATAAAAAATAAAAAGTACTAGAATCATAAATAAGTATAATAACAGTAACAAAAATACAAGGCAGATACAACTCTAGCTTTATAATCACCTCCTATGCTTTCTTACCCCTAATGGCTAAAAAGTAAGAATCTAAGATATTTAACTTTTTAGAAAAATTACAGAAATGAAATGATGCAGAACTCAGAACACAAAGAGCAGAGAAATATAAAGAAAAAACTGATAAGGTGGACTTCAAAATTTACAACTCTTGCTCTTCAAAAAAAAACTTAAAAGAAAAAATGAAAAGGCAAGCAAGCCACCAACTGATAAAAAGTACTGGCAAAATGTGTTAAGAACCTAAAAGAACGTGAATCCAAAACACATTTAAAAGTTTCTAAAACTCAACTATAAAAAACTTGTAAGAGTGGGCAGAGAAGTTGAACAGACACTTCACTAAAGACATACATATCACAAATAAGCAGCCCCAAATCACCAGTCATGCAGAAAATAAAAACGACACCAAGACTCCACTACAAAGAAACCCATAGATACCACTAGATGGCTAAAAATAAAAAGATTAACCATATCATGTGTTGGTAACAATGTGGAACAATTGGAACTCTCAAAAATGTTAAAATGGTACAACCACTTTGGAAGACCGTTGACGATTTCTTAAAAGTTAAATATATACCTACCAGATGACCCAGCCATCCCACTTCTAAGTATTTACCCAACAAAAATAAAAAACACATGTCCACACTCAGATTTGTATACAATGTTCACAGCAGCTTTACAGATAATAACTCCAAAGTGGAAACAACCCAAAATGTTCATCAACAGGTTGAATGGATCTGTTTTGGAGTATCCAAGTAGGATACTATTCAGCAATTACAAGGAATAAATTATTGATACAGGCAACTACATGAATAAACCTCAAGATAATTATGCTGACTGAGAAGCCAGACCCCCCTCTAAAGTACATACTGTATGATTCCATTCATTTATATTTTAGAAAATATAAACGTATCTATAATGACAGAAAGCAGATCAGCAGATACATTACAAATAAGCACAAAAAAACTCTTCGGGATAATGAAAATGTATGTTGTCTTGTCACTATAGTGATGGTTTCACATATATAAAAATTCATCAAAATTGTATAGTTTAAATAAGCACATTATTGTAATTAATTATTCTTCAGTAAAGCTATAAGAAACTAGTCCACAAGTTTCCAAAATTATATTGTTTTAAAAAATAACCAATTATTACACTGTGAAAAGAACAGTATCTAGCTTCAAAAAGCCCGACAAAGATTTGAGGAATCAGGATGAAAAGCAGCAGCACACCTCTCAATCTTACCCTGCTCACTGAAGTGGGTAAGGGAGAAAGAGGAACCAGAAAAAGGACTCACCCTTCTCCTCTATCTGGACCCCAAGCATGTTTCAGGACAACTTTTCTTGTGGTTCCCTCCTACTCCAGGCGCAGTACAGACACTATACCATCATTAAGGCAGTAGAGCTGACACACATAAGTTCTAGGCTAAGGCACAATCTCATTATAAAAATTTTCAGTGGCAAAGCCCAAGAAGCGCAGACACCCAGAAATGGTGATGCAACTTACTGCCCGAAATACGATCAACCCTGTAGAGGGCCAGTTTCTCCAAAAACTATTTAACAATTTAAAAGGAACCACATGGGACTCTCCTTAGTCAGAAACCTGACTAATGATTCTCCAAAAATGTAATTTTTGAAAGATGCTGTGGCTTTACAATTACGTTTATAAAGGGGGGATTAGAAGTTTCTAATTCTTCTATCTTAAAAATTCCCAAATGAGAAAACAAGAGACATGGTAATCATTTGCCCAAGGCCAAAGAATTATTAACTGTAACTGACACAATTAGTTCAGGACACTTTATGACATTTAGTCTTTACATTCCAAAAGTCCCCATTAACTACCATATACAATTTTTTAAACAACAAATAGTGAATAAATAACAAATACACAAATAAAAAGAAGATGGGCTGAAGAGAGATCATTAAATTACTGTCTTGGCACTCATCATGGTAATATAAAGCAAAGATGACGTACGTGATGGTAAACTTTATAGACAGCTGGCCTTAGCAGCCTGTAGGCCCTGCCACTCAAAATTCTGAACTGCTGCGGTGCTGCTCTGGCTCGCTGACTGGAAAAACCATTAAAACTGGCTGCTTTGGTCCACTACAAATTCATGCTATCTCACTATCAAAGCCCCTTGATATTGGTCAGTTCTTATTTCTGACTATGTTACCCCACAATAACTATTTTCTATATTGCTCAAAATCCTGAGTGAATTACTAATACAGCAAGCAGTACCGAGGCCTGTGATCATGAGTATTAAAATGAAACCAGGCATAAAAGTTGTATGTTTCCCTCCAGCCTCATAGGGTTATTTAGGTACAAAGTAGTCAAGTGTTGGCTTTAATCAAGGTAAAATACAACAGAAGTTAAAAAGGAGTGGTTATAACAGACCATGGAATCTAAAGTGAGAAAAACAACGATACGATGAGGATGATGGACAACAAAGAAGGTTAGGTTCAGGTTGTAATAAAGTTGCTGGGAGCTAGAAATTAGAGGGAATGAGCTGGGAAGAAAGAAGTGGGGGTGCTCAGAGAACAGGATGTATGAACCTGAACTCTGAGAGGTGATTCAGTTACTGATAAATAAAAAGTCTAAAATAAGATGCAAGATTACAGGAGGTTAAGAGGTCAAGGAATTCAGGCGGCCAAATTATCTATTATTATGATAATCATGTGCTTTATCCATGCAGATACTGAGATTGGGAGAAATGATTAACACTAGTAGAAAAAAGACATTATGTAAGGAGCTAAAATCTATAATGAATGAGGGGCCTCACAGGTATGACTGCAACAAGAAGCCACAGCAGTTGATAAAATCTACTTGCACAAGAAACATGCGGCTGGGGCCCCAGAAACACCACTGGGGAGCAAGAATGAGACTGAAAAGCCAACACCTGAAAGAGCTGCACTCATGATGTAATTAGTTTTGATAATCTCTTTGAGGGAGGTGGATAATTAGTTCTAATTATAGAATAATGTGATGGCTAGGGTAGTTCAGAGCCTAGACTAGGGAATCAGACAGCCTGAATTTGAATTCCAACTCGGTTTAGTAATAGAATCTGCTTCACAGGGATGGTGGAAGGGTTAAATGAGTTAATAGGAGTTTTCTTCTCTGGAACAGGCATATATGTGAACTTTAACTAGTATTAGTTATTATCACTTTCAGAGGTGGGTTATGGAACAGTAAAGTGAGCAAGGGCTGGGAAGTAGAGGTCTCCTCAGGAACACAGGAAACTATGAGTCTCCCTTCTTTCCTGCTACAGACAGAATCAAAGTTGTGTTGATAATCTCCCTCCTCCAAACTTATTTTTTTTTTTAACATTTTATTTATCTGACAGAGACAGACACAGGGAGAGAGGGAACACAAGCAGGGGGAGTGGGTGAGGGAGAAGCAGACCTCCCGCTGAGCAGGGAGCCCCATGCAGGACTCAATCCCAGAACCCTGAGATCATGACCTGAGCTGAAGGCAGACACTTAACCAACTGAGCCACCCAGGCGCCCCTTCTCCTCCAAACTTCTATAGCACTTTGTACCTCTCACATGAGATTCATTACCAACTGCCTCATATTCAAATTACTGCAAGCATCTCGTGTACTTTTGAATTCCCCACAATGCTTAAAAAGATGGGTTGTGCCATAGTGTGTGTTCAATAAACATAACAATAATGCTCAAAACCACACATCATTTATTTTAAAATAAAATTACGTATCAGCCAACAGAATAAACCCATGAAATTGTCAGGATAATTTTCTCCTTATTCTAGTGCTAATCCACTTCAGAATTGCAATCATAATAGTCACTGACAGAACCTAAAATATTTTAAAGCGTATTTATCAGTCAGGGTTGCCACAGAAAACAGGTGGCATACTCAATTTGGGAAATTTGAAAAAAGTTTAATAGACTATTTACAAAGCACAGAGGCTGTAAGGAAATCACATGAGTATAGTTCCCTGCATTAGTAAGAGCAGGGCCCAACCCTACCCATTGGCAGTGAAGGGAGGAAGAGAGGAAGATGTCAGTAACCTTAAAAGGAAGAGGGCTACTTAATAGGAGTTTGACCTTCAATGGAAGGATGCAAAAAGGATACAAGAAACCCCACAGGGAAGAAGAAAGTAAGTATTTTAACCTCTCCCTCTTTC